AATGATGAAGTGGGAGTGCAGAATGCACTCTAGAAAGAGTGCAGAGAAGAGCAACAAAGAGGATTAGGGGACTGGAGACTAAAACGTATGAAGAACGGTTGCAGGAACTGGGTATGTCTAGTTTAATGAAAAGAAGGACTAGGGGAGACATGATAGCAGTCTTCCAATATCTCAGGGGTTGCCACAGAGAAGAGGGAGTCTATTCTCCAAAGCACCTGAGGGTAGATCAAGAAGCAATGGGTGGAAACTAATCAAAGAGAGAAGGAACTTAGAACTGGGGAGAAATTTCCTGACAGTGAGAACAATTAATCAGTGGAACAACTTGCCTCCAGAAGTCATGAATGCTACAACACTGGAAGTTTTTAAGAAGAGATGTTGGATAACCATTTGTCTGAAGTCATGTAGGGTTTCCTGCCTAGGCAGGGGGTTGGACTAGAAGACCTCCAAGATCCTGTCCAACTCTGTTATTCTATTCTATTCTCACTCTTCATCACATATGTCCCTTTTTTTAGAAAGGATAAAATATAAGTCTAACTGCTATTGCTATTGCTATTGCTAAAATGTAACCCAGATGATATAATTGTTGGTTTTATAATTCACTGAATAGCCATTTCCACAAAGTACTCATACTAGATTCTACATCAACTTGCAGGGTAATAATATCAAGAGGAATACCACGAGGCTCCAGCTGTCCAAACTTTATATTAACGACCTGTACCCAGATGATTAGTGAATTTTCAGATGGCCCAACCTAGAAGGGGTTAACAATTTAGAAGAGGAAGAAGAAAGACTTAGTCAGACTTGGACAATGGGCCAAAACAAACAAGACTGAACTTAATTGGGAGATTTGCGAAATCCTAAAGCTAGGGAGTGAAAAGAAAAGGTATAAGTATAGGATGGGGAGCACCTGGCTTGGTATAGTAGCATATTTGAAAAATAACTGGGTGTTCTGTAGAAGATTGTAAGTTGAACATGAGCCAATAGTTATAATGAGGTTGCAAAGAGAGCAAATGCTATTTTGGACTATATTAACACAGAGTCCAGAAACAGAGCATAGAGCACGGGAAGAAATTGTCCCAAACTGCTCTGCTTTGCTTAGATAACATTGGAGTAGCACGTTGTTCTTGGCACTGCAGTCTAAAAGGGACATAAATAAATGAGGGGAATTCAGAAAAGGGCAACCAAATTGATGTGAGGATGGGAAATCAAGTTCCCGCAAGGAACATGTTTGCCTGCAGGAGAGAAGACGGACGGGAGGTATGACTGTAGGCTTCAGGTTGTCATATTGAGGAAGAAGTAAAATTGTTGCAATTGACCTGTGGTGGCAATCAGGGGTGGGTTTCAGGCGGTTCGCGGCGGTCCCCGCGAACCGGTTGGTCGGCGAACCCGGAAGTAAGTAACTTCCGGGACCGCCGAAGGATCCACCCGCCTGTCCGCGTTTCTTACCCAGTTTTGACGAGTTCTGCGCTTCCACGCATGTGCAGAACGCATACAGCGCCTGCGCGATCCTCC